GAACGCCCTGTTCTTGCCCCTTTTCATCTCTCCCCGATGCTCCCTCCGCCATACGCGCACCTCGTCGTCCGCACGGTTCAACACCCGAGTCGCAGTGATGCCAGCTCCATTTTCAACCGATCTACAACCCCCTTCAATCGGCTCCTTTGAAGTGCCTTCAACCAGTGCCTTCAACTCAACTCACACGGGACTGCTACGGCGCGACATGCGGACCTCGGTCCGACCAGATTTTCAAAAAAAAGGTGTTTACTTCGGTCAAACCATTACTCCGCAGGTCTCGCGACGGTCGATCGACAATTTTCTGAGGTAAATTTTAAGGTACTCCGAGGTCCAGTGGCGATCGCACCGGAGGAAAACTTAAAAGCTAGGATTTAAATTTGACATGTCGGAAACTTACCGGTGTCGGAAAACACAACCTCGCTATCATGGAACATCGCACGAGCATAGATGATAACACTTCTATTGCCAACAATCGATTGCGGCCAATCAAAAGATTAAAATTTACCGCCACTTCGGCTCAAGTAAACTTTCATAAATGTCAAACTTCATGGCAGCGCATATATCATGATGAGCATGATACCGTAAAAAGGGACGTGGTTGTTAGCAACGTCTCAATATAACAAGTGGAAGCATAGCATTTATAGCATTCACGGTCACCCTCATATACAGCATACAATACACATGTGCAACACCCCAGGCACCATGCGGAACTTCTGTTATGGCACCAGCAGACCAGATGAGATGAGAGATGGAACAATTGAGAGAGGCAAAACAAGCTTGGGTAATAGACGAATCGGTGCGCCTCAAATAAGTTCACTTGGCAAACCAAGCAATTCACAACACAAGCAATTCACAATATACTCTATGTTGCCGCCGTCGTCGTGGTGGTCCGCCGTCTTCTCAAAGGTTCACGCTCTTCTAGTCCATCAACCTCGCCCTTCGTCCTTGGCGGTTCTCAGCAACTTGGATTCACTGCCCTTCGTTCTTGGCACAAGTTCTGGTTGGCGCTCTATTGCTCTAGTAGGAAGCTTGAGGGTAGGTTCTAGCAACATTCAGAAAGTTGGGTACTCGCCAACTTTCGCAAGCCTTTTATAGGTCCGCAAAGTGTACTCATTATCTACCATGTACTGAAAGCATCCTTGCAGCATCCCTGAGCTTAATGGTGTGAACTGCCGCAAGTCCAGACTCGGCGTCGCTCCAAGTCTATACAGTTTTTGTATACTTAGGTTCATGGTTTTTGTGTACTCAAGATAGTGAAGGTGCGTGGTTACGTAACCGCCGTCAGTACTTTTCACTACCGCAATGTGATTGGCTCTCGTCCGACGCAATCCGTAACTCAATTATAATTGGTCGAGTCTACCGTAATATTGCGATTTAATTGGCTGCGCGAACAAGACTAAACCTCGAGGTTTCAAGGTATAATCCTACGGTCATATTCTGAGTACGTAACCGGACATAAGCACATACGAGTCGAGCACCGTCGATCGTACTAAACCCCTAGTCTGAGCCGCGCGCGCTGACAGTATGGCCGCGCCCACTGAGTCGCGCCTCCTTTAGCCTATAGTGCGCGTCTCACCAATTCGCTAGCTAGCCAATCAACAACACTCCTCGTTATCAACTGCTACTACTAAGTACTATTACCCTTGTGTTCGGGCTACAGTCTTACAACACATAGCCTTAATCACAATGCGCAACCCTCACCTTGGTCGCTATTTTCTACTTCAATATTATAAACTCCTTCAAGTTCTCGGGAATATTCAGCAAAGTTACATTTGCGATTCCCTACAACAACGATGCCATATGACCTGACAGCTGTCGGATAACACAACCTCGCTATCATGGAACATCGCACGAGCATAGATGATAATACTTCTATTGCCAACAATTGATTGCGGCCAATCAAAAGATTAAAATTTACCGCCACTTCGGCTCAAGTAAACTTTCATACATGTCAAACTTCATGGCAGCGCATATATCATGATGAGCATGATACCCGCCCCACTTCGGCAAGGTCGTCCTGACCGGCCTAATACTGATCCATCCCCTGACCAGTGCCTGACTTTGCATTTACCACCCTTCCAAAATGCTCAAGTAACTTCTGAACCTGACCCTTCAACTCCTTCAACTCCAGCGCAATCTCCTTTACGCTTTCTTGCGGATATGCCCGTTGGTTGGCAACCACTCCCGGTTTGCCGTGCTTAGTCCAACAAGCTGCAGCCATGTGACCTTTCTTCTGACACACGCTACACTGTACGTCCGCTTTCACCTGGCACTCAGACAGCACATGACCCTCCCGTCCACAACGGAAACAGACCCTACCATCCTGAAATGCCCTTGCATCAGCCTCACTTACGCCATATGAGTCGTTGTCCTCCTTGGTCTTTCCTCTGCGGCCGTCTGCATACGCCGTTGCAAGATCCAGACGGTCTGCCACTTCAAAAGCTTGGTTGAGCGTATAAACTCCATTAGCTCCCATAGCGTAAACAATGGGTTCCACGCGCACACGCAGCTTCTCTGGCAATGCTTCAACAAACTTGATAGCCATCTCCTGGCCGTTCAGCAATCCCGTCTCATCTGCAAGATACTCCAAGCGAGAACGCAACATCCTGCACGTCTCATTAGGCTTCTTCTTCAAACTCGTCAACTCACGTACCTGCTCTGCGCTAGCACCTCCGAACTCCGTCTTAAAAAGCCTCACTACTTCTTCAAGAGGGTCCCACTGGGCAAGCTCAGCCGCATCGGCAGGCGCGGTCAATACGCGATCTTTATTTTTACGCCAACTTCTCAGAGCCTCCAGCTCGAGAAATCCAGGCAACTGCTCAAGGAACCTTGCCTTGGTTAACCTTGCATCCTTAGATCTAGCTTTGGCATAGTTTGCGTTTAAGCGGTCTCCAAAGTCCTCATCGGACAACGTCCCTGGACGACCACTGTACATACTAGCTAGGCCCGAAGCAGGAAAGAGTGACATATTGAAAAACGCAAGTTAATACTTCAACTCCAACAATTTCTGAGATCCTCTATTTCACAATTGACAAACTCTCTTCTTTCGCACTGTATACCTCCTGGTCCTACAGCGTCAGTTCTGACCCAAGATCACGGAACGGGGCTCCAGAAGAAGAATGTCCAAAAGTGTCTCCCTAGAACTGTAAAGCGATCAATCAGAATTTCTCCTTCACTTCTCTTCGTCTTGGCTCTTCTTGCCAAAATCCAACTCCTTGCAGCGGCTCTCTGCTGAAAAATCACCCCTCGTCGTGTTGTTAATCAGTTAAGGCAGGTCTTATCATTTGATTTTTGTGGTTAAAGGCGGTAGTAGGAATCCACAGTGGTGGGCAAAGAAAAGGATCCTATTCGAAAGTTCTGTTCCCTTCCATAGTGGGCCCTCTGATTGTTTACGGATACGCCTGCAACGTCAGCTTACGCTGAGCGTGCGTTGGTCGCCCGCGCACTCCTATGTAACGATTACGACTGGTTAAGCCTAACCTCGTTCTCGACAGGATTTCGTTGACCGCGAGTTAGCGAAACGGCGGTGATTACGTCTTAACGACGCACTGCGTGGCTGTCTGCAAGACGGCGTAATATCCCGGATGGATCGGCTTCAGTGAGCATTACGCCCGGATGG